AACAGGAAGAATGTCCCCTTTTTCTGTCTCATGGGGAATTTATTGCACTTGGGGTTGGATTTGAGGGTTGTTTTTTTTTTTTTTTTAAAGAGTATTCAATTCTGTCATGGAGAAAACAGGAAAGCCACACGAATAAAGAGACAGATGAAAGGAGGCATAGATATGAAGAAGCAACTCACGAGGCCTGTGAGATGTATTAAGAATGCGAGCTAAACACAGAGGAGGAGGATGGAAGGATCGAGTGAGCTTCAAGTTCCAGGCGTCCTAAAGGTGCTTCTCGTTGGTCACTCTGGCTCTGTTCCGTGAGTCCTGTGCCGAGGTCACGCAGGTAAAAGCCGGGCTCATTTGCCCCGCTGCGTGGCCCTGGGAGCTTCCGGGTGCAGACCCCCTAGCTCGTCTTCCATTCTGGGGGTTACAACCACACCGTGGGGAGTGAGGTGGGACTCAGTTGCCGTGAGTCTTCGTACCCCAGAACTCAGGCGACCTTTGACCGCTCGTACCCCGAACTAAGTGCGTTAACCTGATCCACCTCTTTGTTTCTTGCGTTTGTTTTAGACCGATGCAGCAAAACCACGGGACCGGAGCACCTGAATCAGGCCGGTGGGCTCTTCTGCTTGAGGCGTCTGCACGGGCTGCTCGGGCAGCTACCAGGAGGCTCCCAAAGCTTCTCACCAGTTTCTCACGGCCACAGATCCCACTTTGTCCTTTTTGTGGCTGAGCAAACCCAGGACGGAGAGGCGGAGTCACTCGCTGAGATTAGGTGTCTGAGTGCAGAGACCCCCTTGTGTGCGTGTCCCCCAGGGATCGCCAAGCCCAAGCCTTCCAGCAGCCCAGGTGTGATTTATCTCTGTTCGATGGCTTCAGGGAGGGAAAGTCCCATGGCCAAGGTCACACATGCCTACCTCCCACTACCCTCCCACTGCCTCTGGGGCGTTTTTTTTTTTTTTCTTTTCTGGCTGTAATTCTCTCTCTGTATCCCAGTTATCACCGTGTTTCCGTGTTTCTCGTAGTCTTTGCCTCCATTTATCTGTCTGTTCTCTGCCTCTCTCTCCCCTGAACCTTTCTGTCTGCGTCTGACTCCGTGCTGCCCCAGCCCATCCCTCTTACCGCCCTTCCTCTCTCAAACCCCTCTCCCTCTGCCTCAGTCCCTCTCTCTGGCTGGCCTCGCTGTTCCTGCTGCCTCTTCTCTCTGCCGGTCTGGGTTCCTTCAAGCTGCCCCTCCTCCCTCAGCTGCGAGAACCGTGCCTTTCCCAGAGGAGGCAGCTCCGTCCCTAATTCCATCCATTCTGTAGCTCGGAGTTTCTCGCAGCTTCAATTCCCTCTGGGGCTCTGGCAAGAGAGCCTGGGAACTTTTACTTAACGGGACGGCACCCTGCCTGCCAAGCAGGCACCGGTCTTCAGGGACCAGGCTCGGTGCCCTCCGGACCCCTGGCATTTCTCCTTCCCACCCTCGGCCAGCTGAGTCACCCTCTGCTCTCTCCCTGTCTCATTTCTTTCTCCATGACATCAGACTTCTCCCAGGTCTCGAGAGGGGGCGGGAGGAGCAGTGGGAAGGGGAGTGGCACCTGTACCCCCTTCCCCTCTCATCCGTTAGAGGAGGCTCTGGACACAGGATGGTGTCAACGTGACAGATAGCATTTATTCCAGACTCCAGTGTCCACAGATGAGGGGGCGGGGCCGGGGGTGGGGATCCAGTGTCAGACTATGCAGCAGGACGTCAGGTGGGGGGACTAGCAATGGAGGCAGGAGGTAAAAATAGCCACCGGCCAGCCGACCCGACCCTCAGAGCCCCATCCCAGGCTGGGCCCTGGGCTCGGCTCCAGGAGCTATTCTGGGACCTGGGAGAGTCATACTCCCTGGAGGAAGGTCCCCTCCCACCCCCCCATCACACCCTTCCTCCCTCCTGGCAGCAACAGCAGCAGCTGTAGGTCCCTGCCCAGCCTGCAGAGAAAGGAAGGGAGGGTGGAGTGGGAAGACCAGGAAGGCGAGGGCGGGCGGGGCGTGAGCAGGGCTGGTTCTCTGATGCCTGCAACTCCAGGTCAGGTCCAGTGACTTGCCTCTTGGAGGTCCTAGGCTCAGCACTGGGGAGAAGAGGGACCGGTTAGACCCCCCCACAACTGCAGGCCCCCTCTCCACCAGGGTGCCCAGGCCCTCACCAACCTCATCTCTGAAGCCCCCACTGCCACGCCTGGCTCCTCCAGAGGCACCTCCCATGAGAAGGCCTGTCTGCTCCGTCCGCTGGGACCCTGAGTGGCTCAGCTCCGGATCCCCAGGTGGCCTGGGGGGAAGAGGTAGCCTGTTGGAGGCGGTCACAGCAGGGGAAGGAACTGGGGATGGGGTAGGGGGCGGGAACGGCATTGGGGTTAGGGATGGGGTGGGGCTAGGGTCGAAGATGCTGCTGGGGTTGGAGATGGTAGCGGAGTTGGGGTCAACTCGGGGGCGGGTGTGGGAGTAGCTGTGCATTGGAGTTGAAGGTGGTCATGTGGTTGGGGTTGGAGATGAGGTTAGATGGGGTGAGTCTGGAGTTAGGAATGGGACTGAGATGGGGTTGGGGGCCTTGGCCATGGGGATATAGTCGAAGGTGGGTTTGGTGCTATTTGTGGGTTGGAGCGAGGGGTGTGGTGGGGGAAAGGTTGGGACTGGAGAAGCTGGAGTTCCAGGTGAGGCTGGGGTCGGGGCTGACGATGGAGAGATGGAGAGGTCAGTTGGGCGGGCTTGGGGGTGGGGGTAGGGTTGGGACTGGGGATGGGGTTGGAGTTGGTGATGAGGATGAGATGGGTTTGGAGGGGAGACGGTTGAGATGGTCGCGTTAGGGTTGGGATGGGAGTTGGGGATGAGATGGGAGTTGGGCAGGTTAGGGATGGCGTTAAGCTGGGCTCAGGGTGGGTTTGAGGATGCTCATGGGTTGGGTGGGGCGGTAGTTGGGGATGACGAGGGGGAAGGGATGGTTACGGACTGGGTTTGAGGTTGGAGATGGGACTGCATTGCATCCGGGTTTGGGGGCGAGGTCAGAGGTGGATGGGGTTTGGGTTACAGAGGTCGGTTCTGCGGGTGCAGGCCACTCACGGAGCCCCCTTCTCCCCCTGCCGGCAGCAGCCGGGGCGCCCCTTGCGTCTCATGCAGTAGAAGGCAGCGACCACGAGGAGCAGGAGGCCCACGCTGACCGCCACGGCCATGACGGCCACTCCGGCCTGGGAGGTCTGGGGGGCCACTGTGGGGACGAGACAGAGGAGACGCTCAGCAGCCACACTCTGTGCGCCCTGCGCCCGGTCCTGTCACCACCGCGGCTACTCACCGGGGCCGAAGTGGAACACGTGCCGGGTATTCCCGTGGGGGTTGGAGGCCTCACAGTACACACCGTCTTGGCTCAGGGCACTGGTCACCTTCAGGGTCAGGGAGCTGCTCACCCAGCCCTGGCCTCCGGAGGCTGGCTCTGCTGGCTGTGGAGGCTCGGGTCAGGCCTGGGCCCGTGGGATCAAGGGCTGGGGTGAGGGCAGAGGTGATGTCCTGCCCCCCAGGAAGTAGGAGAAGGGGGCACAGTGTTTGGATCGGTGATGGGGCAGGGTCCCCCGGGGACCTGGGTCCCGGAGAGTTCACAGGGGACAGGAGGGGCCCTTACACTGCCTCCCATTTGGCTCCAGTTGAGTTTGGGCTCCGGGTAACCGCGGGCAGAGCAGACCAGCCTGACTTCATCCCCTTCTGTCCAGCTGCCCGCGGCCTTGGGCAGAGTCTCCTCTGGCCTTAACTCTGGTGACCCTGTGGGTGACGGGGGTGGGAGCGGAAAGCGGTGAGGAGGAGGCAGGCTGGGGAAAAGAGGGAGCGAGGACGAGGAGGAGACAGGGGAGAGGCACAGAGCAGGGCACAGAGGGCCCAGCCATGGCCCCGTCCCGTCGGTCCCGGCCCTCCAAACCCACTGTCCCCAGCCCAGGTTGTCCCTACCCCCGAACCTTCAACCAGCAGCCTGAGGATCCGGTTGCGACTCAGGAGGGGGACTGTGGGCATGGAGGCCTCGCACGTGTAGCTGCCAGCAGAGTCAAAAGTGACAAAGCTGAGCGAGAGCGTGGGGCCCTCCCCCAGGGGCATCGAGTCCTGTGGGGTGAGGAGAAGAGAAGAGGCCAGGCGGCATGTGAGAGGAGGGGAGGGGGCGCGGGGAGGGAGGGGGTCCCAGGGCGGGGGGGCTCCTCTCCCCCTCACCTTGGTCCAGCGTAGCGTGGGGGTGGGTAGGCCTTGCACGGAGCAGTTCGTGGCCAGGCTGCCGCCCAGGGGTAAGGCAAGCTCCTCCCCATTGCTGAGCTCGAGGGGGTCCAGGTCTGGAGGGGGTACAGACTGTCACCTTCCCCAGACCCTCACCCACTCGCTTCGGGGCGCTCCAGGGCTGTCGTGGGTGCAGACGCGAATGCACGAGCGTCAGCGGAGAAGGCCAAGCCTTCCTCCTCGTTCACCCCATCTCCACGAACTGTCCTCTCTCCCGTCTGGGCCAAATCTCAAGCCCAAACCTGGGAGTCTACCTCCAAAATCCGTGCCCGCCTCGGCCACTCTCCCCCAGAGCTGACGTCTGGGCCCAAGGTTAACGGACGACCTTGAAGGTGGGCGGTGTTCCTGCTCTGACTGACCACCAAAACCTTGTGCTCAAGCCCAGACCCTCGCCGTCTCCTGTCCACTGCCCTTTCGGTCGTCAAGTCTTTTTCTACTCTGCCCGCTAAATGGATCCTTCCATTTTGGGCCTCCCAAGGTCCAGCTGCCTTGACCGCTGCAGTCACCTCCTGGCCGGTCTCCCGGCTGGGCAGGACTCTTTCTTTCCAGTCCATTCTCCACTGTGTAGCTAGAGGGATCTTTTTGAAATATCCCTCTGGTCAGCCCTTCTCTCTGCTTAAAATCCTGCAGCCCCCGTGGCATAAAGGCCACGTCCCTTGACCAGGCCCAAAGGCCCTGCTGGTCTGACCCCTGCCAGCCTCCGTCTCCCGCCCTCCTTCCTCGCCCCCTGAGCTCCAGCGGCCTTTGCTGTTTCTGTCCAGTTTGCCGCGTTGGGTCCTGCCTCAGGGCCTTGGCACCTGCCGTTCCCTGTGCCTGGAGCGCTCGACTTCCGGCTGTTTGCATTTCCGCTTCCATTCTGTGGTTTCCTAGTCAAATAAATGTCCCCTTCTCGGAGAGGCCTCTCTGACCCCCTGTTGTGAATACTCAGATCTCCCCTCCAGCTGTTGCCAGGGCCGTCAGCTGTCGGCCCTCAGCTGTCGGGCCTCTCTGGGAACGGCCTCAGCTGCTGAGCACCCCTCGCTCAAGGCCATGCTTCCTTCCTCAGGCAGCTCAACAGCCAACGACTGGTTGATGTGGGGGTATCCAGGCCAGGGCCCCTCGGCCCGACTGTGGACATCCCAGCTTCCAAGTGCCCTGTGGGCCGACCGAGGCCTTCTGACACTGCAGCCCAACTTCTCCCTCTGCCCCCAACTGCTTCCTTCCCCTCCCCACCCCCCAGTAGGTGCGGATGCCAAGGCCCTCCCCATAAACTAACTTCCTGCCTTCAGAATCAGCTTCCCGGTTAATTAGATATACAAAAATGGTACTTGTTGATTTAATTTGTGATTTTTGGACTAATTCCTTATCCTATGCATCCACGTTAGTCCCTGCAGACGCAGGCTTGCTACCCCAAAGTGTCTTGTTAGCATTTACCATCTGTCTCCCCTACTGGGTCGGGAGCCCTGTGAAGGCGAGGCTCAAGCTGTCTTGTTTGCAGGTGTGTCCCCAGCACCTGGCACAGGGTCTAGCCCCAGGCAGGGAGGTGTAAGGAATGCTGAGGAGGAACACGGCCTCAGGGCCCCACGGGGGCGGGGCGGGGGGAAGGGGAGCAAGTGAACTGAGAGAGCTTCTTAGAAGACCGGACCCGAGATCCTGGTCAGAAACGATGGGAGAAGGATGGGGAGTTACCATGGGAATGAGAGGAGCTGGGGTGTGATGAGGAAAATGCGTTGGTGGGAGAGCAGAGTCGGCCACAGGTGAAGCCGGCCAGGCGGGCCCTACGAGCTGTGCTGAGGCACCTGGGCTTTCTCCCGAGGGCACTGGGGAGCCACGGCAGGTTCCAGAGCAGGGGAAGGTCAAGTTCATGCTCTGGAAAGGGCTCTCTGGCTGGCTGCCCGGTGTGGGAGTCTGGACGGGGCGGGGGGCGTCTGGACCATACATTAGGCGGCAGGGCCGTGGCGGGCGAGGGTGACGAGGCAGCCTGGGCCAGGGTCCACCCCCCCCAACCCTCCCAGGGCTCTCACAGGCCACGCGAAGCTCCAGGGTCTGGGAGAGCTCGGCGTCCTCGTCAGCGTCGTAGTCCTCCACCCTGCAGCCGTAGGTCCCACTCTGGCCCCGCTGCACCCTCTCCAGGGTCAAGTTCCCCTCGAGATTTGTTTTCAGCACGTCTTCCTGCTTGTCCTGGGTGACCAGGGATGAGGGACTCGGCTCAGGAGCCACCCTGGCCCGGCGGGGTCACGCTCGGTCAAGGTCACCAGGCTAGCATCATGCGAGGTCAGAGCCCGCTGGAGTAAGCGGGCAGAGGCCTTGCTGGGCCGGGGGTCTCTCGAGTCCGGGATCATGCTCAGTTGGGACTCTCTCGAATCAGGCGTCAGAGGTCCCATTAGCTCCCGGGTCCCTGGCCCGGTGTCTTGCTAAGCCAAGGGCCACCCAGGTGAAAGGTTAGAAGTTGGGACAAGTCAGTATGTCACAGAGGTCAAGGGCCAGGGCTTCCAAAAGAACGACGGGGTGAATCACCTGAAGGCGGTAAAACGTATACTCCGGGCTGGGGCTGCCGTCACCACGGCAGAACAGCTGCACAGAGTCGCCCTCGCGTACCCAGCCCTCGGTGGTGGCCGGGCTGCCCACCCAGAACTGCACGTGCTCCGTGGGATCTAAGGGGAAGGGGAGGGGGAGGGGTGCTTACGGTCAGGGGCAAGGGCCGGTCAAGGGCAAAAGGCAAGGCTGGGTCGAGGGAGAGAGGTCATGGCTGCAGCAAAAGGAGAGGGCTATGGTTGCTCGAAGGTTAGAGGCTTCGGTTCACAGGTTCGGGGAACAGAAGGTGGAGGCTGAGACGAGCTGAGGTCAGCGTGAGATCCGGGGACCCAATTTGGTGTGAGAGGACGGGGCGCGGTTTAGTCACGAAACTCCAGGAGGCTCATAATGCGGTGGGGGGTGAGAAGTCCGGGTGGGGTCATGCTGCTCTTTAAGGTGAGAGGTCAGCAACCAGAGCACGGTCCAGCATGAGGTGGGGAGAGGGAGGGCCAGAGGGGACAGTGGGGGGGGGTGGGCATGCTTGGAGGGTCAGGCCTCAGTGAGATGTGGGGCCCGAGGTGGGGGAGAGCGGGGCCAGCACGGACTCACAGTGCAGGGTGAGGCCGAAGGGAGGGCTGTCCAGGCGGCCATGCTGGCCCTTGGGCAGGAAGTAGTGCACGGAGCAGTGGAAGCTGGCGTCCCGGTCCGTCTTGTGGAGCCGCAGGTAGAGGGTGCTGGTGAGAGACTGCAGGCCGGAGGCCTCCCGCACCGTGCGGCTGGTCATGTAGCCCTCTGGGAGGGCGGGAGGGGGCGGTCAGCAGGTGGCAGCCCCCACCCCACCGCACCCCACCCCACCCAATGCTAGCTGCATTGCCACATCCCGTCCCGTGCCTGCTCACCTGAGTTCACCTCCATGGGCACCTGCAGGGGCTCCCCGTTCCGATGCCACGTGATCTGGGGGGCTGGGTTCCCGTTGTGGCTGTTGCAGGTGGCAATCTGCAGCAGACGCGGACATGGCTGGCCCTGGGCTCTGAGCCAGGACCCCGAACCCTGGTCCCCGGTCCTCGGGAGTTCTCCCCACTCAGATGCAGGGGTCTGGGCCCCCCAGCCCATCCCTCTCCCCAGACCCCATCATCCAGGTCCATCTGAGGTACCTCCTGGGCAACGTCGTCCGTCACAGACAGCGTCCCTCTGTTGGGGGCAACCTCAGTGGCCTCTGGTTTTGCTACGGGGGTGGGGTGGGGAAATGTTACTGTCAGAAACCCCTGGCGGGGCTCTCCCCTGTCCGCCCCTCCCCAGGGTGTCCACAGACACTCACCAAATACCTGGAGCCTCACGGTGGCCTCGGCAGTGACCGTTGCTCCCACTGTCACGACGCACACATAGTCCCGCTCGTCACCCACCTGGGCCTCAGCCAGCACCAGGCGCCCCTGGGAGTCCAGCTGGTACGGGGGACTGCGGCCCCGGGAGCTGTGCACCCCGCCCCGGATCTCGGAGCCCCGGAGTTCGCCCGAAGCCAGGCGGTGGCGGGCCCCGGAGCGGTCGGCCTGTGGGCAGGGAGCGCCTCAGCGCGGGGCTGCCTGGCGGCCCTCCTCAGGGGCTCCGGCTCCTTCTGCTGCTCTGTGGCTCGGCTCCTTTCCCCCGTCCCCCCTTGTCCTCTCTCTCTGGCCCCTCGGCCCCTCTCTCCACCCCCTTCCCGCCCTCGTCACATTTGCACATTTGCTCCGTCCCCCTCGTCCTCCGCTTCGCTCGGTTCCCCTTTCTCTTCCGCCGTCCTCCGCCCTCTCCCGCCCGCCCGGTCTCGCTCTGCTTCTTACTTTCCTCTTTTCCTCTCCTTAGTCCCACCCCCCAGTCTTGCTTTCTTGGTATCTGTCTCTGGATGTCCCTTCTCGAGAGGACCGGGGGGGCTGGACATCACCTCTGCCCTCACCCCAGCACTTGGAAGGGGGACTGACTAGTCTCGGCTGTGCCCGGATGCCAGGGGCCCCTGGAGAGTGCCTTCCCTTTGCTGGGCCTCAATTTCCCCATCTGTAAAATGGAAAGGTAGCAGCCTCGTGGTGCACTTAGGGTCCTTTGGACTCTGACGAGAGAACGGATGTTTACAGCCCCTCTGCTCCCTCACTCCTGGACCCCCCCACCCCCTGCTGCCACCCTCTGGTCCCCAGCCCGAAACACTCACCAGGAACCACTCCAGCATGAAATAGTCGTGGACTCCCAAGGGAGTGCAGTTCAGGGCGACGGACTCCCCCCTCATCACCTCCACCAGGGGGGGCACAGACACCTGCACCTCAGCTCGGGCATCTGTGGGAGAGAGACTGAGCTCTCTCTCTCCCACTGCCACCCATAGGGAGAGCCCTCTAGACAGAGCGCCTCTTCCCCCGGGACCCAGGAGTCGGGCCCCCAGCCCCTCCTCCCTCAGACCCAGGAGTCCGGGCATCCCCCCTCCTCCAGCGCCTCCTCCCCCAGACTCAGCAGCTCCTTCTCTCTCCCTCTCTCATCTCTGTGTCTCCAAGCTTCAGATCCATCAGCATTTCCCTCCATCTCTCCCTTCACCTGCAGAACGAGGGGCTCCTGCCGTGGGTGACACAAGGCCCTAAGAGCCTCCATTCGATCCTCCAGGGTAAAACGGCACCTGTTGGACCGAATGCCCCTCACGGGCAGGGCCAGGGCTAGCTCATCCCTTTGCCTCACTCGCTCTGTGTAGGGCCTGGCCCAGTGACATGGGATAAAACGTCTCCATCTTAGTCTCCGTCTCTGCCCGTGCGTCTGTCGCTCTGGGGCTCCGTCTCTTAGTTCCCCTGTCTCTGCCTTTCTCTGTCTCTCTCAGCCCGTCACTCTGTTTCCATCTCTCTCAGCCCCTGGGTCTCTCTCTCCCTCATGAGTGGGGGCCTGGGATGAGGTGTGGGCTGCGGCTGGGCCTGGAGCTGAGGCGGGGTGGGTGTGTGGGGGTGGTGAGGGGGGACAGGGCTGGGCAGGTTGCAGGAATGTGGGAGGGACAGGCTGGCTCAGACCTGCCCGGCTTGGAGCCAGAGCCCCCTACCCGCCCCTTGGCCCCTCTGCCTCTTTGATGGTGGGGTGGCGGGGAGAGCTTAGGTGCGTCACCTGGGAACAGGACAGGTTTGAGGCCCTGGATAACCCAGGTTCCGAGGGAGAAGGGAACTGGAGGCTTAGACTCCTGGGTCCTGGGGGAGTAGGTGGATGGGCCTGGACTCCTGGCCCTAGATCCTGGCAGATAGGGCCATTCTCATCGGAAACCATCGGAAACCGCGCTCTCTCCCCCTCCGGGCTGGCATCCTGGCATCAGCTCTCAGTTCTTAGAACCTCCCTTCCCTTCTCCGCCCAGCCTGGTCCAGCCCTGCCCCTGGGGACCCACTATTGGCGGTGCTTGTGCCAGGGGCCTGGATTCCCGGAGACCCACCTCTGGCCTGAGGCCTGTCCCAGGGGAGGGGGCGTGGGGCCAGGCAGGTGCCTGGGGCTGGGTCTCGGCAGCAGAGAGCAAAGACAGAGAGATCCCCCTCTCCTCCCTAGTCCCTCTCAGCTCCTGCCCCTCCGCTGCCAGCCCCCGGGGCCTCCTCCCTCCCACCGCCACACAGGTGTGTGGATTATCTGGGGCCCGGGAAGGGGCACTGTCACTCGGAAACACTGTGTTCCACTGTCGCTGCCCAGGGCCAGCACTCCGGCTCGTCCCTGAGGCAGGCGGGCCCTTTAGAGTCTGGGCTCTGAATCTAGATGGCGAACCTTCAAGCGCCTGCGACTCTGGTTTCTGGCCGTAGGGTCCCCGACCCCCTCAAAACTTGACAACCTTTCAGGAGGGGAGCCCTGGGGTTCTGTTCTCCTGGGTTCGGGGGGGGGGGGAGCCACTCCAGCAGCTGGGGCCTGGACCCCTGGGTCTGAGAGAGCAAGGGGCCCAAGACCCAAATCCAGGGGCCCTCTGGGCTCCTGGGTCCAAAGTGGCCGGAGACTGTGACCTCTCTGGTGGCCTCTAATTCATTGTCGTGGTGTCCCCAGCTCCTGTCACCAGGTCTCTCATTGGGAGGGACGCCCCCCATGCTATCATATCCCTCCTTTCCGGGGTCTCCAGGTTTGACTTCCTGGAGGGGGTGAAAGACCCTTCCCCCTTTCTCCCTGCGGTCTCCAGGGGCCGTCCCCCGTCGCGCCCCGTTCTCGGCCCGAGCATACCTGGCTGCGCCCCCAGCAGGAGCGCCAGCACCAGCAGCCGCGGGGCCCCGCGGCCCGGCC